TTCTTTTCGGCCTTTCATTTCAAGGAGCCAACGGGTTAACTTTGAACCACGATCGTCGTCTGAGGGTCCAGATTGGCTTGACTCTTCGCTTGTCTCCCTGCGCCAGGTCTGTCCGAGTGAGCTTTGTGCGATAGGACCCCAAAAGAGGGGCAACCCGCGGCCGCATTGGTAGAAGGCTTATCACCCCCGTGAAAGGTCATAAGCCCCCTCCTTGCAATCGGACACGGGTACCCAATAGAAGTAGGTGGACGACGCGTTTTGAATGGAGAAGGGCGACAGTCGGTATCCCGTTATGGGACCACCGTGTCGGATCTGATATCGTTTATTCGAAAGGGAAAATGAAAGGATGGTGGCCGACTGTGAAAGGCCTGTGTGGACTGCGACCTCTGGAGTTCGGCTCCGCTGCTCCCTTCGGTCTACTTGTTTCACGAGATTTTGAGAAATAAATGTTTCCTCTGTTTATTTTATCTTATTTTATTAAACTTACGAATTGGAAATTATTAAAGTGCAGAACATTGAAAGTTATTTGAGTCCCTCGTTTAGAGCGTCGGGATCACGGTGATCGACGATCTTATAAAAGAGGGAGGGCGAGGAGCCTCTACCTACCCAAGCATGAGCAGCCTCGCCACATTGTTAGTTGGCAGACTGATAAAGAGGGGGGTCGTGCTGCCGTATGAGCGTGAGGAAGACCTGCCTGCCTATGTGTATGTTGAGTGTTAAGGTCTGACTATCTAGGAAGCCGATGGCCTGGTATTCACGGTCTGCTCGGGGAGAGGTTCGGCCATGGTACGCAGCAGCGGGCTATATGGCTATAGGCCAAGGTGCCTCCAATATCTCTGGAAGTGGGAGCAGATGTCTAGGGAAGGGCCTACTGTGACGGTCGTGCTGGACTACAGCTACGGCAGGCAAGAGGCAAAACTGAGGGTGAACGTAGAAGGAGGGATACAATAAGAAATGAGGGCAGACCAAGGCCTGCAGATGGCGATTACAGAGGCTAGAGACCGCGCCGAGAGAAGGTGCAGGCGGGATGGAGTTACGAACGAGATAAAAGTGACCGTTGCGTACCGAGACGGGGGGACGTCCACGAACACAGTGGAAAGGGAACAACAACATTTGGATCACGATACTGAGGCAGAGAGCGAGGATAGTGATTTGGAAGCCACGACTTAGTCCTGGTACGGACTGGACCAATGGCGACGGGACTATCCACCCACAGAGTCTGAGGAGAACGGGCCAGAAGTCGATTCGCGACGGAGAAGGGACCAAGACCACTAGGCAGAAAACTCCCGACGCTGAGCTCTAGAGGGAGGGAGATTTTCAAGGTAGGAAGCGGGCAGTTAAGAGACACACAGAGAAAGAGAGGCAGCGAGACGTGAGCCTACCTTCAGAGATGACGTCATCAGTATGGACCCACGGTGACGAGTTCGAGTGCCACAAGAGCTACGCCAGGCTTGCACGTGTCAAGAAGGAATAAGCGAAGACTTAACTGGGCAGAAGCGTGCGTGGTAGACACACGCGTGCATTCAAGAACGAGATACAGGCAGAACGGCGGGGCAAGAAGGAAGGCAGTGCCAGTACGCGAGGTTACATAGAGGGTCATGAGTTGGTGTTGACGTCATCACTGCCTAGCTCGAGTACGGAGATTCTCTCTTAAGTGGGGCTGCATCAACAGGCTATGAGGACTGGAGAGTATGCACAAAGACCCGACTTGTGGACGTCATCATTCATCACGGTTTCGTTCGTGCCCCTCAGGAGACGAAGCCCCGACCCTGGCAGTGGATCAGTTAGTGTTATATGGAAGGAAAATGACTCTCTCTATCATGCTTGTGACGAATTGGTGATAGTCAACGCCCGTCCAAGCGTTGTCATCGATGTCAATAGTGTCAAGCGTGTCTAGAGTGTGAATCGAGTCACAAGGCCAGTGAGATGGGCGCGGGCTGTTGATAGTAACTACAGTAGTGGTCCGTGCACCCGCGGATGACCTACTGCACACGTTGGTTGTCAGAGTGCTCGGATGGGTGTAGAGTGGACGGGTTGGTGCTATCCTTCACAGGCTCCGGGGTTGTGAGTGAAGATGATTTGACCATAGGAGGTCACGAACGGTGGTATGATAGTATTGAAGCAAGTGTGTTAAAGGTACTCGTTGGAGTCGAAGCCCAACTGAGGTATACGTGTAGTGCGCCTTTCTCGTTTACGTCATGAAAGTCTTGTCTGGGTTATGACATTTGTCCTAGCCTAGTCAATCTCCGTTAGTGGTGAGATGTGACTTTTCCTCCCCTTCTTGGTCGCGACTAGTTCAGCTCTTGTCACCATGTGATGGAGGTGAAGGGTCAAGGAAGAGATAAAGCATCAATGCAGTGACTCTGGTTTCAGCCCATGACGAGTAGAGCTGAAGTTGAGTTTGAGAGATGGAAGAGTCTGATTTTCGGACACTGAAACGTACCTGTTTAAACACGTTGGTTAAGGGGGAATGATGCATAAGGTCTTATGGTTCTGGACTCAACGAAGTTTGATTGACAAGTGATCTTCCATCGGGAGACTTTAATGACTAACCAAGTGGCATGTGAGAGGATCAACTAGATAAGGGATTATTTTTCTTCATCGATCATCGTCTATGCGTGCTTATTTTTGTCTTATCGTGAATAAGAGTTATCTCACCCTGGTCGTTTCTCCCCCCCTAGTTGAGTTAATGAGTTTTTAATATTGTTGGACCTTTTTCGATAACTCTTGTGGGTTTCTCGTCAGGCGGGGGTCGGTGATATAACACTCTGATTGAGGCTGGCGAACTTAATGATATGCATTGGAGCTTTTGTGCCTATCTATCAAGCTCTAGCTTACTAGTCAGGGAGTTGTATCAAGTCTATGTCTCATCACGGGTGAGGGGGTGGCCCTGTGGCGAGAGAACGATACTCAGAGTGTCTGCTCTCCAGTCCACGATATCTCCTCAGGAGCGGGAAGAAGTATTTCCTAAGAATAGTTGCGTATCTTCTCGCCAAGCTTTTACTTGACGTGGATTAGCTGTGTGTGATGATGGTGACCTGACTTCAATTAGGTCATCAAATTTCCCTACCCCCTTGTAACCTTTCTTGAGTCGATCAGAACAGGGAATGAGAAATATGAAGAACGAAAATGTTGAACCACTCTAAGCAGGCACACGCTCCAATGCAAAGTGACGTGCTTGAAATATCCAACAAGTGTCGGTTGCAGTCAGTGTCGAGTGAAGTCTACACTATATCTTGCCGAACGTCGCTCCCAATAGAAAAAATCCCGGTCTTAACAGTTATGTTTTTATACACCCTTGTGTTAAAAATGAGTTGACTATATTGAGTAACAACAGTTCTTAAACACGCACAGGTGCTTAACCTTGACCGATAAACACACATGTGTTAAACCTTACTTCAACACAAGAAATGTTCACGACTTCGCTGCGGGCTTCCAAATCTATATGACAAACATTTTCCAACATTGTTCCAACGTTTGATGATGAGTTAAGTCACCTGTGGTTATACTGTATCCCTGATATACACAAACGTTTGAGAGTTTGTTGCCTAACTTATTGCAATGTCTTAGCAACATTGAGATATCGTATTGAAAAAAAAAAAATATCGTTTAAAAATAGTTGGAACTCTCAACGAGACAATCAATGTAAATCCGTCGCGACACTTGTCCTTGCTTCTCTCTCTCTCTCTCTCTCTCTCTCTCTCTCTCTCTCTCTCTCTCTCTCTCTCTCTCTCTCTCTGCGTATGTGTGTGTTCTACAATATGTCTTTGTCGTTATATGACATGAGGAATCGGCGTTTAAATATGATTTTTTTTTTTTTTTTTGCAAAAACCTCTTAACTGATGTAAATATCATAATTATCAATACTTTCCTCGACAAAATAGACATCCGCCACACACTTTTCATTGTACCTATTACATTCAGTCTACAATGAGGCACTTTAAACATGATCACGAATGTTTTTTGTCTGCTTAACAATACATAACACACCTATAACATATGACATATGTCTCGGCAAAAAAGTTCACAACAATTGACGCATTCCATAGTCGTCTTTGTTTTTCATTCACCCCAATTGGCATAGCAATACATAACACACCTATAATACATGTCTGCAAAATCATGTCGTCGTACAAAACACACATCATACCGAACATGTCTCATTTGTTTGTTTCCTGCCTCTTTCTATATACCTCTCTCTCTCTCTCTCTCTCTCTCTCTCTCTCTCTCTCTCTCTCTCTCT